ACAATTTTATAACCTTTATATACTTTAAAGAAAATTTAATATAAAATGATATTAATTTAACTGTCAGTAGAATGAATAAAAACTTATTTATCTCTACTTTCTTTAGAGTTTTAAGAATTCTCTATATTTAAAAAAAAATTTAGGACCATTTATTAATATGTTAAATATGGGTTTTTGAATAGGTCTTAACATTTAAGGAGCCAATCTAATTTGTGCTTGGGTCCCAAATTTATTAGTTTAACCTCTAAACCCACCTCAATGAAAACCAATTTAATTTATTTCAAAATCAAAAACATTTATTTAACTTCAAAGAACAACTATTTAATTTCAAAACTTTCCGATCAAAAACAAAAATGACTCTTCGATACTATTCTCACTTTGTCATTTTAAACATTTTTGTTGTTTTAATTTGTAAATTTTTAATATGACATGAACTTTTCTACTTTATTTTGCTTATTACTCATTTCAGACGATTTATAATTTTAGTACGGGTGTAACAAGGTCTCCAAAAAAATTGAGATAATTTTGAGTTATTTTATATCATCCTCTATTTTAGAAAATAGGAAAGTTGTCGTACCATTTTATAGAAAACAAAAAATTAATTTTCTCTATTTAAAAAAAAAAAAATTGTTAACAATGCTTTAATACATTAAAGTGGTGTTTGTTTTTTTAGAGGTGCTGATGTCTGAAGTCTTATTTCACTTCTAATTAATAACAGGTGGTGTTGAAGTCTGAAATTTGAATCACTAAAATTGTTTGTTTTTGTAAACTGACAAACATCTGAAGTCTGAAATTTTAATCAATAGTTTGTTTTTGTTAAATCAGGTGCAAAATTCTCTTGATTTTTATAAAATTTCATTGCCGAAATTTATCTCAATAATTGTTTAACAGATAGAACACAGTAAGAATCTTTTAGATACCTTTCAAACTTCTGATGCTATTGGGAATGCCGTCAATGAATTTGTTTGTGGAAAGATTGATACTTTTAATAGAATATAGAACGTCGATAGAAGTTTTTATTTCACATTAATCTTCTAAGCTAACCCATACTTACAAAAATCATATATATATATATATATATATATACAAAAATCATTTATTTATATTATTAAACTACTATTAAACAGTCATTATATCTGAATATTTGATCAAATAAACTATAAATCTCGTTAGATAATGCTTAAGGCCTTATTAAAATAACCAAATCAAAAATTCATTTAATCGGAAAAAAATGATGTGCGAATTTATTTCACACGTGTACGCTCCATCTTCATCTTGGCTGATAGTCTAGATTGAGCCTTGGTCATTGATCACCACGATTTTAATTTATATGGCTCTCCGTAGTCCGTCCAAGGGTTGATCGGGTTGAAAACATTTGAATAACGTAATTCAATGTTTGCGGTTTAAAATTTTTAACTCAACCCAACCCAAACTGTATGCGTTGGTCGGATTGACACTTTGGTACATTAAAACATTCTTCTAACCTTGAATATGTTATTTCTCTACTCATAATTTCTTTTTCATCACCAACCTTTGATACAACTTATCAATACTTCTTACGTATACCATATACAATTAATTTTCTCAATTTACATATATATGTTCACAATTACTGAACATATATACGAATGAGTTATATTGAGATGTGAATTGAATGAAAATATGTGTATACGAAGAACGTGCATAATAGTATAATTGTCTAATGTATATATTAATAGATATTCAACAATCATATTAAATTCAAGAAATAAAAGGATATCGGGTTCATAAGGTTGAGTTCAAATAATAGTAACTCCCAATACCTATGGTTTGAAAATTTTACAAACTCGATTAGACATCTGATTACTTCAAGTTGAGTTATTTCACATTGGATTGGGTTGGATTGGTCGAGTTTTTAAGTTGCCCTAGTTACCAACCATGATTCTGAGCATCTACAATAACAATCTAGAGTAAACTGTAAATTTGGTCCATGTGGTTTATTGAAAATAATTGATAGTTTTAAAATTACAAAATAACTATCATGACTAGCAGAAATCCATTTTGATGCACTACAATTTTATCCGGTAAAATAAATTATAGTGTTGACTCTTAACCATAAACAATTACCGGATAAACATTTAGGTAAATGACCCTTAAATATTTTAATATTATAATTAATGTATAACCTCTTAAATTAAAAAAAAAAAAAAACAGTTAAAAAGTTCTTACAAAGAGGTTTGCATTTTGCTGAAATTTTGCAGAAAACTCGTCATAATCAGTACATATATGATGCATGAACCAAAACCCTAATCAAAATACACGATTCTTCTATATAAAAATGAATGATTTATCAGTTTCAAGTATTATCAAATCAAATCATGGCTTCCCAGCTTCACTTCCTCTTGATTCCCTTATTAGCCCCTGGCCACACCATCCCCATGATCGACATGGCCAAACTCCTCGCACAACGGCGGAATGTGATGGTGACCATCGTCACCACACCCCTCAACGCCATCCGGTATGGTCCTTACCTCCAAGAACCCATCAAATTGGGACTCCAAGTCGGTTTTCTTGAACTTCCTTTTCCGGCGGCTGAGGTTGGACTACCGGAGGGATGCGAAAGTGGAGATGCTATACATGCTCTAGATTTAGTCCCCAAATTTTCAGCTGCAGTTGATATGTTACAACAAAGACTCGAACAACGTTTTGAATCGCTGGATCCTCGACCCAATTGCATTTTATCCGATAAATACATGCTCTGGACTGCTGATACAGCSGCTAAGTATCAGATACCAAGGATCATTTTTGATGGAATGAGTTGTTTCAAACAGTTATGTAGTCATCATTTGTATGAATCCAWGGTGTTCGACGATTTGCCTGAGTTAGAACCTTTTGTTCTCCCTGGATTGCCAGACCGGATTGAGATAACCACATTGCAGCTGCCACCCGAGTTCAATCATAATCATATGGCGCCAAGGGACCAACTCAAACGGGTGAGAGAAACCGAGTTGAGCGCTTATGGGATGGTGATCAATAGTTTCGAGGAGTTGGAGCAAGAATACTTTAACGAGTTTAAGAAGTTGAAAAATGGTCGGGTTTGGTGTTTAGGACCGTTGTCATTGAACAATAATAATGATTTGGGAAAAGCGGTAAGAGGAAACAGCTCCTCTATCAATGAGGAGCGTATCTTGAACTGGCTTGATTCCAAAGAACCTGGATCCGTAATCTATGCCTGTTTCGGTAGCAGTAGTCAGGTCATCCCTCCACAACTGATTGAGCTTGGTTTAGGCCTAGAAGCGTCTAACCGCCCATTCATATGGGTCATTCGAGCGGGTGATAGAGCTAAGGAGATCGAGGAATGGATAAAAGAAAACGGGTTTGAAGAAAGAACTAAAGATAGAGGACTTTTGATCAGAGATTGGGCACCACAACTCCTAATCTTATCACACCCTTCGGTTGGAGGGTTCTTGACTCACTGCGGTTGGAATTCCATCCTTGAAGGAGTTTGTGCCTGCGTGCCACTGATAACGTGGCCGCTGTTTGCTGAGCAGTTCTTGAACGAGAAACTAGTAATCGAAGTGTTGGGGATTGGCGTGGGGGTTGGCGCTCAACACGTTGTCCATTGGGGTATGGAAGACAGGTACGGGGTAACAGTGAAAACCGAGCAGGTCTTGAAGGCGATACAGAAGGTGATGGATTTTGGAACCGAAGGAAACGAGAGAAGAAAGAAAGTAAAAGCAGTCGGGATGGTAGCGAAAAAGGCAGTAGAACCGGAAGGGTCTTCTCACAAGAACTTGACACTATTAATACAAGATATAATGGAACTTACAAATGTTAAAAGCCGAGAGCCATCAAGTTGAAACGACCTTGTCGAGTATGTACAAGATCGAAATYGTGTTTTTCTTATCATAAGTCGTATGTAAACGATTAAACCACTAGTCTAGACAACATCTTGAATYGCTTTAGTTTGCCTAATCGCTCGATAATATCTTCAATCAWTGCTGTCGTGTTGAAATGAGACGAACCCGCTTCCTCCATTGCTCTTTTCGCCATTTCTCTGAGCTCTCTCGCTTTCTTTCGTCTCGCTTCTCCTTCATCTTCTTTGTCCATTATACTTCCAATAGATGACTTGATGTCTTCCTTCTTTACCAACACTCCAAACTTATCTTGATCTCCAACCGCAACAACCTCCTCATTGCCGATGCTCACTCCGATTTTCAATACGTCTAAGATGAATCTTTCATTAAGAAATTGATCCGCGAATTGGGGCCACGTAACCATCGGGATCCCAGCGGAAATGCCTTCAAGAGTCGAGTTCCATCCGCAATGAGTTACGAAACCACCAATGGCTTTATGCGGTAGTATCAAGGCTTGCGGTGCCCAACCGCGGACAATTAGGCCTCGATCTTTTACCCGTTTTTCGTATCCCGACAACCATCTCTCCGATTCCTCCGTTGTGTGTCGTATACACCAAATAAACGGCACGTTCGATGACTCCAATCCCAACCCGAGCTCGAATAGTTGTTCTGTGGAAACACTCGACATACTTCCTAAGCAAACAAAGATTACAGACCCTGGATCCTTCTTATTCAGCCATTTTAAGCAATCGTGCTCGTTGATTCCGGCCTTGTTTCCTCTCTCGGCTATATCGAGCAGGCTTCTGTTGCGTAGTGAAACCGGGCCAATGCACCATACCTGTTGGAAAATAGATTAATAGGAGAAATAGTACAGTAAAACAATGATTAAGACGTGATTCGTGCACAACTCACACAAGGTCAAATCCTCCTTAGCTCGCCTAATCTCTTAAAAAAGTTACACGTTTTATAGATTATAAACTAAAGAAGAATTTATCACTCTTCCTATGTAGGACAAGTGATGTGTCGAAATTTTATATATATATATATATA